GACTCACCTCTTTAGACAGCCCGGGGCTCACGTACGGGCACATGAAAATTTTTGGCGCGAAAATTACTAACCCGGGAACAGTAAAAGCTAGAAAGCTGAAACTTTAAGGGAAATGTTGCCTATTCATGTACGAGCAAAGTCAGATGTTTAGAAGCGCCCGGGGCCCACGTACGAGCACGTGGAAATTTTGGCGCGAAAATTACTAAACCGGGAACAGTAGAGGCTGGGAAGCTGAAACTTTAAGGGAATGTTCCCTACTCAAGTACGAACAAAATCAGATGTCTAGAAGCGCCCAAGCCCACATACGAGCGCATGGAAGTTTTGGCGCGAAAATTACTAACCCGGGAACAGTAAAAGCTAGAAGGCTGAAACTTTAAGGGAATGTCGCCTATTCATGTACGAGCAAAGTCAGATGTTTAGAAGCGCCCGGGGCCCACGTACGAGCGCGTGGAAATTTTGGCGCGAAAATTACCAACCCGGGACCAGTAAAAGCTAGAAAGCTGAAACTTTAAGGGAATGTTCCCTACTCGTGTGCAAGCAAAATCATATGTTAGAGGCGCCCTGAGCCCACGTACGAGCGCGTGGAAATTTTGGCGCGAAAACTACTAACCCGGGACGGGAAAAGCGAGAAAGCTGAAACTTTCGGGGAATGTTTCTTATTCATGTCTGACCAAAATCAGGTGTTTAGAAGGCGTACAGGCATATGGAAATTTTGGCGCGGAAATCATTAACTCGGGAACGAAAAAAGCTAGAAAGCTGAAACTTCAGGATAACGTGAGATTTTAAATTCATCTCCTTAAAGCCGTCTCGTAATTACGTAGGGACACGTGAAAATTTTGGTGGGAAAACTGTCAATTCGGGAACGAGATAAGCTGAAGGCTGGGGACACGTGAAAATTTTGGTGGGAAAACTGCCAATTCGGGAACGAGATAAGCTCAAGGCTTTAATGGGAACACGTGAAAATTTTGGTAGAAAAACTGCCAATTCGGGAACGAGATAAGCACAAGGCTTTAATTTTGAGGGAATTCCCTACTTACGTGCGACTAAAAAATTTTAAATTTAACTCTTCTAGCGTGGCTTTTTTTTGCGGACAAGCAACTTTCCATTTGTCGGGTCACTGAAGTCGACACCTACAACTGACAT